ACATACATACATACTATACTATACATACATACATACATACATACATACATATATATAATATATATATATATATATATATATATATATATTCAGTTTAATCATTTACATTGACATGCAATGCACAAAATTGCATCACAATGTAGATACTGATGCACGCATAATCGAGAAGACTGAAATGGTTCACGCGATGCCAACCACGGCGTCATTCCCCAGATGAGTGTGCAGTTCATAGTGATTTATATACCTGATAGCATTCACCAGTGGGTGTAGAGCGAGCGTCATAAGGGCCTCGCATCTCTGCACTACAACATCGTTATTGACATAATCCAACAGCACCAAAGCCTCGACATGCGCATCGCAGATGGCCTGCATGCTGTCAAGGCTTCCACCCTCAACCGGGACCAGTTACAATGTATAACTGGCAATTCCGGTGTTTATATCTATTAGTTCGGTCAAGCCTTGTCAGCATTTGTCTGATTGACGATTAGTTCTTATTTCTCGAGACAGACTGAGTTAGTATGTAGACAATGACTTATTCTATGAGAGAGACTGAGTGAGTATGTAGAAACTAACTTTGGTTTCTGTTTTATTAGGTCTGTGTGTAGTGTGGACCACGAGCACCTAAATAAAAGGTACACACATAACAATTATTTTTAAACACTCTATTGACAATGCAACAAAGTATTTATATACAATTGTAAAAGCTAAATACTGTGAGTATGTATGTATTCAGTATGTAACTATGTAGCGTGTACATATTTCTTCGTGAGTTTTATTTTTAGATTTCCTCTAATGATCAATCACTGATCTCCAAATTCCTCTGGGTAACACAACACAGAGCCAATCAGATGGTAGGCTCTGATTACATATCGACTGTTTCTATTTTCTCGGTTTCTGGCTTTGGCAGCTTGGATCTGGGTATATATCTCGAAGTAGCTCAACTAATAAATATACATTTATATATATAGTAAACTTTGAAATCATACTAAAGTTAAAACTGTAAAATCGTCTAGCAATATTGTTGTAGCACGCTTTTGAGTTGAGTTTTAAGTGTTCCTACTAACCCAGTCGAGATATGTTGATGAGTTTCCACTAGGTTGACTGTGTGTATCTGGACATGCGCAGTACAGTTGCACTGAACCCGACAGTGAAGGTTACCAACACCCTGTGAGTGGTTGTGTACATCCAGTACGGCACTCCAAGCTTTTCTGAACAGCCTTTTCTCTACTCTATATACAATGATGACACACTGATAGAAAATGGTACAATTCCAGTCCTTGGATTAGTGTATATATAACTATATTAACTATATATTAATCTCGGACCTGAACCCATATTACATACCTCAGCAAAGTATATAACCATGTACTATGATTACCACTCGACCAATGATGTGAACACATGCAGTGAATTTCGCCCGCGTGGCCCATTTTGTTGTGGTATTAGCAGCACAGACACAGCAAGCCATCAGGTTAAACCGACGGAACGGCATGCAGATCAACAGAGCCAGTATGGATTGGGTCCTATCTGACAACTTTATCCCCAGATTGCCCACAACGTGCATGCGGCGAGGACTGAAGAAATGTTATAGACTATGTGCACAATAGACTAAGTGCACAGACCGGGAACACTTCATTAACTGTTAAGTCAGCAGCAACATTATTAAAGTCTCACTTCACTTTATCGAGAGCTTTCTTGGACGGACAAACTGACCTAATAATGTCGGCGACAGACCCTTTCTATTTTTTATACTAAATTACACTCATCGTTTCATATTTCGGGCATATTACAAGAGGGCTTCATTGAACAAGTTTTGAGAGTTTCATCAGATGCTAAATCGCTGGCATGAGATTCATCTTTAGCGATTGCTCGATCAGTGTCACGTTGGCGACCACAATGCCACAGATGGTTTGAACGATGATTCTGAATTTTATGGCCTTGCGGTACGTCCGATAAAACACAAGTGAGTTTATAGAGATCTAATAGTTACTGGTAGGGATGATATTATTTATTTCAAAAGAGATGAGTTACAAGTGGAGTTGACAGGGGGTTCTGTAGAGTATCCATGCTGCGGGCAAGAACTTTTGGCGCTCGTTCATGTGTGCAGCGAGCCTCCCGCTTGGTACGAAAATAGTGGATTAAAGCTGCTTTCGTAGAGTCGGGATAATATTTGGAGCGTGGGTCGATAGTTTTATCAAATTGCAATTTCCACGGAATTGTTGCATGTCGTTTCACCTGGGCAACAGCGTCACTAGGAACACAAAGGCGGACGAAACTGGTGGAACTCCCATAGCGATTTTGTTGAGAAATCAGTTTGGACGGGAGATACCAACGGAAGTGATGGCGATTGAAGAGCGGTTGGGCGTGCCAGTAATTTTCAAATTCTGATTACTGGTAGTGGGCCAATAGAGAATCAAAAGAGACTGTTAGTGAGTCTATATTGAATAAAAATTAACTGATACTGGGTGTATAGAGAATCAAAAAGGTCTGGTAGTAGGTGTATAGAGAATCGAAAAAGTACAGTAGTAGTTCCATAGACGATAGAAAATAAAATGGGACTGGTAGTGGGTCTATATTGAATAAAAATGGACTGGTACTGAATGTATAGAGAATTAAAAAGGACTGGTAGTGGGTGTATAGAGAATCGAAAAAGTATAGTAGTGGGTCCATAGACGATAGATACTAATAAAAAGAACTGGTAGTGGGTGTATATTAAATATAAAGGACTGGTACTGGGTCTATAGAGAATAAAAAGGAACTGTTAGTGGCTCTATATTGAAAAAAAAGGACAGGTACTGGGTCGATAGGGAATAAAAAGGGACTGGTAGTGGGTCTGTATTGGATAAAAATGACTGGTACTGGGTCCATATTGATTAAAAAAGACTGGTACTGGATCTATAGAAAAGGACGGGTAGTGGGTCTATATTGAACGAATAAGACCTGGTACTGAGTCTATAGAGAATGAGCAGGGGCTGGTAGTGGGTCTATATTGAATAAAAAGGGACTGGTAATAGGTCCATATTGGTTAAAAAAGACTGGTACTGGATTTATAGAGAATAAAAAGGTACAGGTAGTAGGTCTATATTGAACGAATAAGACCTGGTACTGAGTCTATAGAGAATGAGCAGGGGCTGGTAGTGGGTCTATATTGAATAAAAAGGACTGGTAATAGGTCTATAGGGAATAAAAAGGGACTGGTAGTGGGTCTGTATTGAATAAAAAGGACTGGTAGTGGGTCTATATT